ACCTGAAAGCATCAGAGCTATTGCTCAAAACCCAAATATTGACCTACAATCAATTGGAATAAATTCAAAATCCGATATCCAACATCACATTAGAACACAACAATTCCAAGAATTATTAACGCAAATGGACACTATATAAAGACAATCAATTGACCAAAACTTACGCAAACTTGCCGAAACCGCAGGATTTGCAGATATTTATACACAAGACTATAGCGGATATTTTAAAGACATTAAAGACTATATATATCTAAACGGTGAAAAATATAGACCACAAGATATTTCACCTATAAATATTTTTAGCTTTGTTACACTAAAAAATGAAATTCTATATTTTCTAGGGTGGCCCTACTACATCTTAGAAAAATTGACTATTTTATACGCAATGTTTAACTTTATAGGATTTCTTTTTTCGCTTTTAAAAGGAATCTATAATACATGCGCTATACACACACAAGTAAATAGACAAGCAAGTGTAGCACGCATACTATTTGCAGGATTTTTTGGAATTTTTTCATCATCAATAAACAAAATTCTTTTAGACGCACAAATAAAAGAATACAACACAAAAATAGCAACAAGACAGAACACATACGACGAAGAACATAATAATGTAGACATAACGCCTACAGCTCCACAGTTACCACCCCTACCACATAACCATCTACTATCACTAGTCCCACGAAATTTTCGAAATTTAGCAATAACACATAATCCAAATTTTAGACCAACCATATCACAAAGTCCCATTCAACATATAATGACACACCATCCACTAGATGAAAATACATATGAACAAATTATAGAACAACCCCATACCACCGCTTTTCAGTCTCAAAATAATAATTTTTTTAGCCCACGATGAGCCGACAACTTGGATCCCTACACCGCTCAAATTCCCACCCGACCAACCTCAACACTCCAATTACAATAATTCCACTTTTTGCTTTCCCGCCACCCGATTTCCCAACCAATAATGTAACATCAGGCATGAGTTCAGACACTAATTCACATATCTCAGTTTTGTACTCCATCTCACAACTCAATAACCCAGATATTGAAACCCCTGATGAATTTGCAGACTCTGAACAATCTCCATCCAATAATTTTCAAACCAACTCCTCAGTTTTTCAAAAACCCCTTTTCAACCAATCCCGCCAAATAACCCACTCCCATCCATTTCTACACCCTCTTATGCTTCGCAAGTCACCCCAACCTACTCTTCATTTCATTCAGACCGATCATCCAATTCTCCAGATACTCCCCAAATCTCCCAGGAACTAGATAATTTTATCACCCTACAAAAACAACCCTTCCACCTTGAAGATTCCACTATAAACCAGATTTCATCCACAATAGAATCATTAAACCCACCTACCCCTACACCCTCTTCAGCTTATACCGCATCATTAGCACCATCCTCCACATCCACCGAATCATCAAATAGCACTAATAGAGCTTATCGCACTTTCAAAAGAAAATTCCCGAACCATCCATTTCCAACAAAACCAGGAACAGCTCGTGAATATATTAATCATCCAAATCACACTAACACGAAAGATTTTTTAGCCATCACCCTACCCTCATTTCCACAGTATACTTTGAACACCCCTAACGACACTAACAACACACGCAGTTTTGTAGATGAACACGTTTTAATGCCTACACTTCAATGGACATCATATTATCATTTTACTAACCCCCTTTGCCTACCTTTATCTAATACTCACATCGATATAGAAAGAAATAAAGATATGCTATATCGACTCACCACACCACTAACACATAGACAATTTACTTATATAGGATATAAAAAGTCACTAAAAACATACACTGCACCCCGAGCTAACGAATACACGCTAGAATATTACGATCACAGCATCATCCGAACTAACCAAGACCAATTTTTAGATGATGACCGTTTCGCTAACCCACAAATCTCAGAAAAATTTTTCATCAAAACACCATATGTATTTACACTCAATATATTTGATCGCAAATTCGATCACATCATTTCTGAAGCACTAACCGACACACAAGCTTACGAAAGTTTTAAAGAAAAATTTCAATTATTTTCACTAACCTTTCATTTCCTTGCACCACACGAACGAGATTTGCACTGCTCACACGACATTATGTTACGCACTAAACAAACCCACACATATACATATTATCGCTTCATACAAAATCACTTTGATCTACACACTCCATCAAGACAACCACACCACCGTTTTCAGTTTATTAACTCTAAGTACACTTCAGCATTTTTTCTTAACTTCACATATTGCATCAAAGATACTAACCTTCACGGTATTCTTCGCAATTATGATCCCATAACCCAAATGTATATTTTTTGTCCCATCACAAAGACCTTCAACGCAGAAGAATCCAGACCCTTCCTTATCCCACATGAATTTGTTCAACCTATAGAAATCCCCATATTAGAATTCATCCACAACATTAAATATAACCACAAATTATATAATCTTATCCAAAACACACCTTATGAGTTTGCAGTTGGCACTGAAGAACTAAAAACCATTAAAGCACTTCAATTGCTTTGGCCACTGCTTCAAACTAAAAACATCATTCGCATACTAGCAAAGTTACTAACAAATTCCGACATAATACACGACATCTTCTCCCACGGTTTTTTCCCCGACGACTAACAGGTAAGTATAATTTATACATATTCTTAACAAATAAATTTAAAATAAAACACTAACCATTCTTTATCCATGTTTTATTTAGATTTTTAGTCTTCATCTCACGATCATCTGCAAAATACAATAAAGAAAAATAAAAAATCGAAAACTTCTTCAAATTCTTCAAAACTCTATTAATATTTTACACTAGATAAATTCAATAAAATTCATACCAATGTAGTAAATTAATTTATAAATTATTTCCCTAAAAGCAGTAATTCTAATAATGATGAAAATTTGTAACTTAATTTTTCCCCAAAACTAGCAGTAAAATTGAAATTCTATGTAGTAAATTGATAAAACGCAAATGCAGTACTAACCTTTCGATATTCCATTCACTCGCACAAGAATTCTATCCATACTCGCACAGCTCGCCCACGAAGAATTGTTTAAATAATGAGTTTCAGTTTCAAGCTTTCACACTCAACAACTCTAACACACGATAACAAGTTTCAAACTTTCCTTTAACCCGGTTGGAAAGGAATTATATACTAAACAAAACTAACCAACGCAGCTTACTAAACACCACAACACATAGAATAACAGCATGACTAAGAAAAGAAAACCAACGGTACCCAAACCGGATTAACCCAGTTTAAAACTGGATAATTTATTCTTTTGAAGACTATTATAAAGTCTAAGAAAGAAATAATAAAACACAAAAAAGTCGAAAGACAAACCCATACCAAAAACAATTTGATTTTTGAAAAAAGGACACAACCAAAGAAACATAAGAAAAACCACAATAAACCCAACATAAAACGTTATCACATAACAGGATCTCTCACAGAAACCGCACGAAATCATACTCCCACTCCTGGCCTAACCCACCAGAGAGGACGTCCTGAGCATGCTCTATAGCCGGCCTAACCAACCGCGCTACAACCACGCTTTGTGACCACACTTCTATTTTTAATAAGAGGTACTCAAGGGTGAGTAACTCTTCAAAATAACTGAACTAAAACAAAAAGCTTTTGTGAAAACAACTAATCAAAATCATAATTAAAACACCAAACTAATAAAAATTTTATAAAATATAAATTATACCTTGCAGTATATAGATCAGCATACAACACCAAAGACGAACATCCAAAGACACAATGACCCCACTACACTCGAAAAAGAATGGCCAACCACAATCAATATGCCGCCCACAATCAGAACTTAAAGGATTTAGAGTACGACTTGACTTCGCAGAAAAGGACTTCATTGAACTAGACCAATGACCACCTCGATGTTCAAGTATACGTACAGATCCGAGTAACCAGGCATCCCCTCCACGCACAATCTCCACGCCATTCCCAGACAAGGTCAACCCAAAAGAAGTTCTCTACATGGAACAGAAAAACCTGTCATAGCCAACCATTCTGAAATCAGATTTGAGTTTGTTGCGAAAACCCAGTCGTTGTCATGAGAAGACACAGCGATTGAACCTGGAACTTCTCTAACACGAAAACCCAGAAGAATTATGATGTTCGCCAAATACCAACGTCCATCATCCATCCTTTGAATTACAGAAAGACTATTCTAAAAAACTCTGTAAAACCCGGATGGGTGGAACCTGATCTAAACTACATTTTATGATTGGATAAATTAGATATTTTACCACCGTAAAGTATTTAATATTAACCAATCATGATCCATCTAACTAACAACCCACTTATTTGTAAGTGCTGAAATTACTTGTAATTTCAGCACCAGAGAGATTTGAATTTAACTTAGAAATTAGTCGACTCTCCAAGAAGACTTCAGCAGCCGCAATAAACCAGTATACCCTAGATCTATTGAGCCTTGCAGAGACTAGTTAAACAACCTGAGACTAGATAAGTATAAGAGTAAGATTAGGATCGGTATTAGACTAAGAAGTTGCACGAATCTATCCGGCCGAAAATAAGATAGCGTGACGAGCAGACGGTGTACCCTATCCGAAATTACTCTATGAGTTAACCACCTCGGTTATAACTCACAACGCCTCGCCACTTAAAAGGATGTAGCCAATCAAATCAAAGAATGCTTTGATGTTCGGCAGCCTGACACACTTGATAATTTCTGAAACCTGATCGGAACTTGCCCAAGTTGGGTCGCATTTGTATTTTGGTTTTAATGGTAGGAAGTTTAGGCAATGATCTTTCCAATAGCCCTATCTTCAAACAAAAACTAGTTAATTGTTTCGTTTTTGCGATTTTTTTCTTCTTTCTCTGAGCTGTTTCTTAGAAAAACACTTTGAAAGTATGTTTCTCTCAAATTATCATAGTCTTATGACAGTAACGTGCAGAAATTGAATATGATTTTCTCACCAAGTTGAATGCCGAGCAGAAGATTTCGTTCGAAAAAATGGGGCCACTGGGAGAACTATAGACAAATTTTAAAGTATTCGACATTTAATACAGAATGCAACAGTTAATTACAAAATGCAAGGTCCATGACTGCTCAAAGTGCTGAAAACTAATTTTTTTATTGTTTCGTGCATAGCAATGCATGATACAGGTCTAGTAGATGAGCGCTTTTCCACTATGAGATATAGAAATTCAAAACACTGTCATTTCGTGTGTCTCGCTTAGTCTCTTCCTCTTGATCGCTTCTATCTTCTCTCGTCTCGCTTTGGCCGCCATCACCAGCTGAGACATGCGGATGGCGTTGCCGTTGGCAACCACTGAGTTAGTACACTGGCTGATCTTGTAGAAGATGGAAAGTCCGAAGGTCATTGTTACTATGAAGGAAACAAAGGAGAAGAGAGATATGAGAGGCAGCCACATCATGAAGTTGGTATTTCTAGAAATAATCTCATTTCAGTCATTTCGCAATCTAACAAAATAATCTCATTTCGTACTCAAATTATGGATCAATTTCTGAAATAACCAATTTTTAAGTAGAGACTGCGAAAAGAGTTTACGAAATGAAAAACAACAATTTCTGCGAAAATGAAATCATCCGAGAACAAAGAAAAACTATTAAGGTAAACAAAATAAACAGACTTACTGAAAGTAGACTTCAGCTGAAACATAAATTTTGGCTAAGTTCATTAGTTTTTCATCAGGAAGTATTGGTAAAGGATTTTGAAGACATGACTCCTCTTACGCGGCTCAATTTCCGCTCGAAGAATTACGGTCGAGTTTTTCTGCAATATGTCTGGAAAGTGTTCGTTTGCTGCGAAGGTTTGTATCTCCGATCGCTCGCCCAGCATTCTGGCTTTGAGAGTTAGCTTGACACCAACTTTGCTGTATTTTTGAAATGTCTTCACTTGGCAGGAAAGAGACATTGGGTTTCGGTATTTGGGATAGAAAACCATCGAGGAGCACTAAAATATGGAAGATTTTTTAAGCGATTTTTTTAGAAATAAAATTGGCGCGTTAACATTATGTTCCAAGTGCAGATTGTGGCGGTGCATAAATCGTGATGGATCAATGAAAAACTTCTATTGAGCAATTTACTTAAAGTAGGCAAGTATAGCCGGTTACTGAGAGAGTGAAGCAAAAAATTCCGGCCACAATTGTAAAAAAAAACACAGTTTTTTAAATTGTGTCGTTTCTTGTTCGTGGTGTGATGAGAGAAACAAACAAAAGCCTAAAATTTAGCATTTTCGAGAGTGACTGTGATTCAGCCATGTCTGACAATAGTTTTTTTTTCGAAAAATGAATGAAAAAACAAACAAAAAACTAAAAAAAAACCGAAAAATTTCTTTTCCAAGAAACTTCAAAACTTTGAAAAAAGTAAGTTTTGATGGCTGAAATAAACATTATCGCCTTATTGTAAACCTGCTCAATAGCTTCATTTGCTCGAAATGAGACGAAATTTCAAAAATTTCAGCCCGATTTTCTCGAAATTGAGAAAAGTTTTAGAAGTTCTTTTTAGATTCCTTTTCTTTGGGGATTCGGCCCCCTAGCCACATAAAGGGTATCCTTTTGGTACTATTTTAGGCCGATCGACCCTAAAAGTTTAAACATAAAATATTTTCTTAAGGCGACTTCGGGGACAACATATTCTAATTTTGGGGGAAAACTGTGCCAAAAAACGCAATATTTGGTAAAACGTTCTCCAAAAAAAGTGCTCCAAAATGATTTTTTATTCACTTAACCGCCGTTTCAACGCCGTTATGCAAAACGACATTGATCGCTGTTTTTTTTTTGAAAAGCTATTCTTACTTCTGATTCAATCAGTTTGCTCAGTTGGTTGTGATCTGTGCTCTTGTCATTCAGCAGCGTTTCTGACCACGAATAAGTTTCATTTAGTACTGCAATGACATGGTAGGTTTTGGTGGTGTTATCTTGCAGCAATCCTTGGATCTCCCAGTTTACAGAAGCAATGTTTGAAATGATTTCATCCATCTGCTGAAGGAATTGCGCGTGCCGTGCATACTCCAGCTGAAACAAAAATGATTTAAGCGGAAAACTAACCAATTTTTTTATCTTTGTGATCAATGATTTCACACAAAAATTGTTGAAATAACAACGTGCGTTTGTATGAGAGTAAAGCGCATAGAATCCAGGCTCATAGAAAACAAACTATGATTGACAAATTAACATTATCATAAATTAGGCTTCCTTTTTTGAGTTATGTTTAATCTTACCGAATCTGTACTGTGGTTTGTTTCAACAGATGCTCTCAAAGCATCCTTTTCAGCATTGATTCGGTCTGCAATTGTCTGGAAATCCAAAATATCTCCTTCCCAGCTGTCATAATCGGAAACCCATCGAATGTCATCAACTACAGTTCGTAGCTCTTTCTGTATGTTTCGCGTGTACTCAACTTGACATTCTGATGCCCCTGTCCAGACCAGCGTGAACGAATTGTTGAAAGTAAGATTCTGTCGGGATGGTCCCAAAAAAACTGCATCATCGGCAAAAGCGGTGGGAATTGTTTCATTCTCATTCGTTGAAATGTTGCGTTCAATGTTGTCGCTTATGAAGTGCTGAACGCGTATAAGTGTAGTGTTCTTTGGAGGACATTCGAAGAGAACCAAATGACCTATAAATTGAAGACGACTTCAAAACAGAAAAACTGATTTAGTGATTTCTCTTGATAAAATCATGCATTTTATCGTTAGATTTAAACGGCTATCTAGCCTTTGAAATCTAATCCAAGGATTCAAAATCTGCATGAAACTTCATATCTATAATTATCAGCTTGAACTCTTTTCTGCTTGAATTTATCCAAAAACGTTCATTTTGGATCTTCTGGAGCTAAAATGATCATATCTTTAAAACATTGAGAGTTGGATTTGACACCTTTGCAACAGTAACCGTTTTTATCTTTTAAAGCTGAAATAGTCAATTGAGACTGAAAACTGAGTCCCGAAGCGTTTCGAGAGTGCCAGTTTTACATTCAGTATTCCGAGCTCAAAATTTAAAATATATAACAACCTTTTTTGATCAATCGCTGCAGTTCTTGTTTTTTGAGCGTGTGGGTATGTGTAAACATGACAACGATGCGACAAAATAGTTTTTTTTGCCAACAAGCCCTTTAAGAAGTGTTAACCAAAAACAGCAGTTTTTGACATAATTGAATTTAGGATTTAGGGATTTAGTTAAATTTACAATTGATCTATACCTTTAGTTAGATTACCAGACCCCCGGTAATTCCTGTAGTAGGTCGAATTGACTTCAATGGATAAATCGGGCTCGCTAGATTCCACATACCACTGGTGTACGAAACCGCTCAGTCCAATGTAATCTTCATTGCTCAAATTATCCTGCACGATGAAGGCTCTGAAAAAAAAAATTTGAAACCATTTTGAATGCAGGATTTTTCACCACGCAGAAATAAATTACGTTTTCAGCTTTAAATATACAATCTTCTTTGTACAATAAATGTGCTCGCGGTGGTTTTTCTGCAGACAAATTTAAGCTGTTTATCATTTTTTTTTACAATCTACGTTGATAACAATGGTTCAAAATCAAAGTTTTGATATGCGATTATTTAGGTAAAATTATAATCGTTTGAATGTGGGACTACGTTGACCAATTTGGGATAATTGAATTATGCTAATTAACATTTTTATATTAACGCGTACCCTGAGCGGCAAATTGAGCCAAATTCCGAAACCATTCCATATTGAATTGAGACATGCTAACTGTTTCCACTGTGTTAAACTGATTTAAAACTGAAACTAATGTCTGGTGTGATTCGCCAAAAACTATCAAAATTCGCAATTTTTTTCATTACGAGGCCAAACTGTGCCTTACTTAATATGGTGTCTGTAGGTCTCTGGAATCTAGAGACAAGTCTTAAAACACGTGACAAAATGTAAGTGATTTCCATTTACAAAATTTCCGCGGAATCCGTGCACAAATTGCTGTAACAAAAACTTTGTCAGCACAATAGTTTTGTCGCGAGTTCCACAAGGAAGGATTTTAGCTATTTGTTTCCGGCTCTTGCAAATGTAAGTAGATTCCGCAATTATATATGGATTCCGCTTACAATTTGCGGATTTCGCTTTTAGTTTGCGGATTCCGCTTACAGTTGCGGATTCCACGACAGAGTGTTTTTAGTATACACATTTATACTATTTTTTGTAGAATCCATAAGCTGTTTCGGATTACTCAGGATGATTTGTAGCGATACATTTTTTTTAGCTATTTGTTTGTAGAATTATTAACAGCAACAAATATCAAATAAAAATAGCAATGTTGCGAACTCCGCGACAAATTTGTTTTCCGCCTGTTGCGGAATCCACTTAAGTTTGACAAATACACAGTTTGGCCTCGTAATGTTTTTTTTGCTAAAAACTACCGAATATACTTTAAGGGGCAAGTCGAAAGATGCTGGGTTTTATCCAGACACAAACAATTTTTCAATGTTTTTATGATGTACTGAAAATGTATTTTCAAATACCGACTATCGGACTCGTAGAGGATTGAATGAAAAAATTGTTCCAAAGCATTTACAATTGTATTTTGGATTTAAAAAAAATTTCTGCAAATTAAGAGAAAACTGATCTTTTTTTGGCGGATTATTATTATTGTTTTGCTTTTCTGAGAAACTAAATTATCAAAATTATGCAAGTCGATACTTTTTTATGTTTTCAAACTTTTATGCTAGTCGAATTTTATGATAGTAAATCAGTCTTCATTTTTTTCTTTTCCATGTCTATTTTCATTGCGAGTGGATAGCAAGCCCTATGTACTTTACGTTTTGAAAAAATTCGGAAATTTTTTTTCGAATTTCTTAAAATGCTAGACGAGCGGTCTCCGTTTTTTGTTTTTTCTATGTCTACTTTCATAGCGACTGGGTAACAAGTTTTATGTATATTAATTTTTGGAAAAATTCGGAAAATTCCTTTTGAAGATTTAAAATGTTTTCTGTGTTTGGACACTAGGTCAATCTGAGCCCCTGACACAGCAAAAGTTGACCATTGAAAAAAAGTGGATCAAAACATTTTGATGTGAAAGCGCGACAAGAAATCTTTTTTCTGATATTAACTAAGCGTTTTATTTGATTGTTTTTGCACAGCAACTAAAAGTCGAAACTTATTTTAAATAGTAAAAATTCAACCAGAAACTAAGTCAATATCTCACCCTAGTAAAAATGGTAAAGATACTCCAAAAAGGTTTAATGTTGAGTTAGAAACAAGAGGTGAAGCTGCGATGAACATTTTGATTTTTTTTGGTTTCCAAGTGAGTTTTATGGTTGACCGGAAACGTTTAATATATTATTCCCCTAGTGCAGCTGCTAAGAGAAAACAATCTGCCAAAAAGAAAACAAACACATACTCTTATGCTAGAGTAAAGAATAGTATGAACATTGAAGATTTAGATCAGAAGCTGCAGGCTTTGAACATTATCAGAGGGTATGAGCCAGCAAGGTTTTTTGATGTTGATACTTTAAAAATGATCTCTCGGGTATCAGTTTTCGAACAATCTTAGAATACCTTTCACACATTTTTCTTAAAAAGAGAAAAAATCTGTTTCCTCAGAAAAACTGTTGTAAAGTCTTTTGCTAGTCCGAGGATTCATACAGTCGAATGAGCTATGGCCTAGATTGCTTCCCGCAATTTCAGGCGCCTGTAAAAAAACTTCGCTATTTCCCTTTGCACATTTGAACTTAAAATTATCTTCAAAACGCAATGTTGTCTTAATGAATTGAAAGTTTAGATGGCTAGCTAACGAGCTATTCTGAATACATACTTCTTGAATTGGGGAGGCTATATTAAGCAAAAAAATATATAAATGACGTATTTAATCCTATGCGGTTTCTGCTAAAAATTACACTTTTTTATACATATTAGGCGAAAAAACTGTAAAAAAGGCAAAAATTTTGACTTGAAAAAGTGTGCATTTTAGCTGAAATCGTATGTGATTATCTACATACTAAATACACGTAATGTTGTTCAAAAAGCAAATCAACAGTCAAATGGTGACCACTGAAGTCGCACCAACGTGTTGCGAGCTTGCCCGCTAAGGGAAGGACTCTTTACAAAAAAAAGAGCGGGTTATCGCCGCAGAGCGGTGAAGCGCGTATGGCGCGCCCCCTGGCGACCTTGAACTTGGACGAACAAACGGCTTTGTAGCCTTTAACCGCTTTGTTGTCAATGTCATCTGGAGATTTAGGGATATTTCTGGTAAGATATAAACTTTTATTATCAAAAATTTTGCCCAATAATAACACTATTATTTCCGCCTAACATAATTTTTGCCTAACATATTCAGCCCTTTCTGAATCATACCTTGCATTTAGTCACATCTACTTCAAAGAAATAATGCACAGTGGAGATGAGTGTACAGTTTACGGGACTAAGAATATGATTTTAAAGCAGCAATTTTCATCTTTTTTGTAGGAGAAACCGACTCTCAAAGTCAGCTTAAGACAAGTGAAGCTTGGTCGGGATGGTGAGCTCCAAGTCCAGTAATCTCAGGGCTTTCTTTCTTTATCCTTTTTTGCCATTTTAAGGATTTTATTTATTTATTGCTTGTTTGCGAAATGCAGCTTCAATTGTGTAGCATGCATTCTTTTCTATTTTCTATGTTTCACTAAATCATTTGTTGTGAAACCTCAACCATTTGCTTGATTTTTGTTGAGTTATTTTCATCACCGATGTTTATTTCCAATTCCTATGAAGCGTTTTGGGGTAAATTTATAGAACAAAATTTTTCTAAATTTAGGTATTTCTATAAAAAAAAAACGTTTTTTCACTTTTTTGTTTATTGTTTCTACTTTCGAAGAAATGCGGATGTTCATCATTGGGTGGATTTTTTATTGAGTCAACTTTCGATATTTTAACCAGGCAGTTTTGGCGAAATCTTTTTCATACCATCAGAAAGATACTTATGTCTGGAGCTCAATGCAAAACATACTTCACCTGTGATCAAATTATAATGATTTGAGTTTGGAACTACTTTGATGACTATAATTCAATCTGGGATAAATGACTTGCAATACAATTCATTCTAATAAAACGTAATTGGGAAATTGAATCCTTTTATTGAAATGAGGCAGGCAGTTTTTTTGATAACATGTTACCAAAACAAAGTATATCCTTTGGTACTTTACAAAGTTTGTAGGCGGATAAAATTAAGAAATTAATATTTATAAAAACCGCTTCAAAATTTTGTCAATTTTTTGATGACTTCTAAAACTTTTCAACCAAAAAGCTTGTGATTGTCGATAGCGGGCAGTCGTAAAACTCAGGATTTTGCATTTTGCTCTTATTGCCGCGCAGAAAATATATCTTCTGGTTTTTTACATAGTTTGTGGAGGGATGAAATTTAAAAAAATAAATATTTGCTTCAAAAAAACTTCTATAAGGTTTTTAATTTTTTTTTCTATCTAATAGTATTACTCGTGTACATAATTCAAACAAGTGGTAGGAGACAGTGGCAAGCGCAGAAATTTTTTTAGAAGGGGTCGGTTTTTCAAAAAATTTTGAAAATTTTGCCGGCTTTTTCTTTTTTTTTAGGTGGAACAGTTTCATTTTCCGAGCTTTCCAAAAAATTTATACGGGCACTGTTTTGTGAAAAATATTCTGCGCCGCTGGCATATTTTTAAAAAAAGGCTAGAAAAGGCGTTTTTAGGCACTTTTTTTGGTGCGCGCTCCCCCTCAAAATTATTCATATTTCGCCGAAGGCGCCTTCTGAAAAATTTGAGGTTTGTTTACAAAAAATGGATGTCGTAAAACCATACCAAAGGAGGGACCCTTTGGAAAAAATGGCACCCAGAATTGAAGCAGGGCGGTAGGCCCCCCTCCCCCTCGGCACGCTACTGGTAGTAGAGTATCCGGTAATATCTTGATGTTTTTGCAGTCAACTTTAGTTGACTGCAAGATTCGCTACTTGCACTCACAAATACAGTTCAGTTTGGACAACTCAGTACGTTTTAAATGCTATTTTTTTGTTCCGACTTTTGAAGAAAATGACAAAATACTTGTGCTCGGGTTGGTTCTTTTTCTCCCGAAAGGCTCGTTTTTTAAACTAGCACTTACTGCAGATTTTTTTTAACATCCAAAATTTGCTGTTGTTCTGACCTCAAACGGTTTAAAATTTTTCTGTGTGATCAATTATTTTAAATCTTATAGTGGTTTAAAAATGGCTAGGTTGACCCATTTATGATTATTAACGCGCGACATCTGTGGTGCGATTAATGCTTAAGCGGAGATCTAATCCGTTTGAGAAATCCTTCCAAATTGAATTGAGGCATACTTTTTTTTTCTATTTAAAACAACCATTTATATCTAATTATTTAAAATTCAAAAGGCGGTCGTCGGAACATTCAGAGCTTCACCCTGAGCAGTCTTTCATTTATGCTTGGGGTGGTTTTTCTATTCAGTCAATTTTGGACTTTTAAACAAAGCGTTTTGGACAAAACTTTTTTTGTTGGATCTGACAAAGATTTTTGTCTCGAGCTCAATTAGTTTAAAAATTTCAACTTTCATCAAATTTTTAAAAATTATAAGGGACTAAAAGATGCCAATTTGGCCAAATTGGATAATTAACCAGTGCTTTATAGCGTTTTGTAACACGCGTAAATAATAGATTAATGCGTTTCAAATTGAGATGAGGCAATTTGTTTGGTCTATTTGTTAAAAAAACAGACTAAATGAATCCATTTGTAGTCTTCATAAGCATTTATTGGATGGATAAATGTAAAAGAAGTCAATTAAATTGAACAAGAAATAAAAAGAGCGTATATACCGCACAGTTTACAGTTGAAGCAGTAAAATGAAGGGATGTGTGTCAACTAGTTGCCTCAAGGATGCATCCAGCCAGGTCTAGCTTTTGTTTGAGAAATTTAAAAGCTAGTTTCTCACCCGTTAAGACTGTTATTCGCCTTGCAAGTTCTTTCAAGAAAACTGCAGTAGATCTACCAGCGCCACCCAGTGTTTCCATGGCAACGGGTTCAAAAATTACAGTGGAAGGGAGGTCTGAATAGTCTCATTCGCAGATTAGAGTTTGCCAAACGACTTATACATGTGAAATCCCATGCCAAGGTCCATCCTCGCTGCATGGCATTAGTGTGTGTCCATCTGGTCTGCGTCCATCTTTGCGTAGCAGCCCGATAGGTTCTAGTGTGGAACTGATGCCGAGTGATTTTATAGAATCTTTAATGATCATGTTGCCATTCGAGTGTCTAATGAACCTGTGCTTGATCTTCGGGCAGACAAGTGCGTGTCTTCCATCTGTTGCTGCGACATAGCCACATTTGCACGTGTGTTGTGCGGTTACTGGGGCTCCTAGACGCAGACCAGCTGAAATACGGAACTCATAATCGGACAAAGTCAGACCCAGCGGACGAGAAGGAAGGACGTCCAGCCAAGCGCCTGAACCTACCGCGCGACAGCCCTGATAACGAGGAAGTGAGTTTTCGTCGGTACAATTGCTCAAAATGTTTGCGAATTGTTGTTCGTAGATAGGTTTTGTCCAAAATTCTTGAGCGCACTGGGGGTTTAACTTTCATTTTTTGGTTAGTTTCTCACCTTTTCAACTCAAAAAATGGTTGGCCGTGAAGTTGTATGTGTTTTAATTGGTGCACATTTTGAGGTAGCGTCAAAGAAGAACTAATGTATTGCAGAGATTTTGAGCGCGTTAGCCAAAACCTAGGCACTGGTTGAGATATCAACTTTGAACTGATTGTAGTAGATGGTATAAACTACGTAGCTTTTTTTCAGAAAAAATTCAAGATGAGACCAAGTCACCGCAAATATGCACAACTTGATCAAAGTAGTAGTTCTTTTCTTTTATGCGTCCCAAATTTGATTTATAGCGATTTTGAAAATTGAATAATGCTCGATTCTGATTGGATGAAATTTTAACAAATTAAACTTTAAACATAGTAGCTCAATCAATGTTTCGGTAATTTCTGTCCGAATAACAGAAAAATACCCATGGGTATCTACTAAAGACTTTCCAGTCCTATAAGTTAAAGTAGTAAGTTAACACTAGAGAGTTCTATTTTAAATTGTATTTTTGCTGCATTCTGATTGGTCTAAACCTCGCTGATTTTATCTACTGAACAATCCGTCCCCTTTTCTTGAAAGGCGGGATTGTTAAGATCCCTGAAACATAGTGCATACTTTTTCTTGCATAGCTAACTCAGAAAACATTGTCTATATCCAAACAGAGAAATTGCTGTGATAGAAATTTTGAATTGTTTGCATAAGGATATTCAGAGAGAATAAAATGTGTTTCTTAACTTACTTCTG